AAGGGCAATATAAACTAAATACTGAACTCCTCAAAGATCCTGCTTATTGTAAAATAATTATAAAATGTATACATTCTACTAAAGATGAATACAAAGATGTAGACCCCCATTTACGATGGGAAATGATCAAATGTAATGCAACAGAAATTTCCCAGCAATACAGTCGTTTCAAAGCAAGAGAAAATTCATACAAACATAAGCTACTGAAATCACGTCTGAACTTCTTAGAAGAACAATTGACAGTAGATCCTGATAACAAATATTTACTATAGTCTGCCAAAGACGTTGTCAGTATTATTGTCTAAATCGGCTTCTCGCACTGTATGCTTCCTGGTACTCAAAGAATATTTTTGAACAGTTTTGGAGTCTTCTGGGGGTAATAATATAGACTGTACAAAGCACATAATTTACTTTTGGGCGCGGATGTGCGTTATGCAATAAATTCTGATTTTTATTTTATCATTTATCCATAGAAAAAAAAAAGTTTAATCAACTAGAATACTCCTTGTCGACAAAACCCTTGAGTAAGAAAATCATTGTACATTGTAAGTTTCCCCACTCGGGAATCGAACTGCGGTCTTCTGGTTTTTCAGTGAAACGCCTAACCGCTACACCACATAGCAGGTGCATTGTTTTCGCATTCTGAGACCGGAGTAAGAAAACCGTAGTGAAAACCAGAGCATTCGTGTTTACTGTGGCAAGTCGAATATTCCTCGTTCATTGTTTTAGTTTACCACCTTGTGTTGTAATGCAAGTACTCATGTTACCTTTAGGTTTTAATAGGGGTTTCACGACACTTGCAACACAGGTAAGTCATATTTGTGCCAAAGATTAGAGATGTTACAAGACAGTTATAACACAAAAATTTAGGAGGAGAGATCAGCACGATATAATATGTTTGTTTTTCTACTAAAGAAGGAGCAAACCACACCAGAGCACCTGCCAACCACCCTCTCTGTGACCTCTAGAGCACGTACTATTAGAATGTCAACGGGATAATTATCAGAATACTGATTATGTATCAAGCTTAAACACTACTTTTTGTTCAATTATGTTTTGAGCGTGATTGCAGGTTGTTTGTGAGTGCAAACATATTATGAATAGTATGTGTCACGCCAGAAAATTAGAGGTATTACAAGAGCACAACCAACAAACAAAAAACAAACAAAACAAAACAAAAAGAAGAGGAGGATATAAGAACGATAGATGTTTGATAAGAAAGAAGAAGTAAACCCCACCAGGGCACCCGGCAACCACCCACGTCAATTTTTGGGCATATATAGTTATTTAGAATCCTCTAAAAGCTTGTTTATTTATTATTACTATTATTATTTAGTATTA